CCTTGAACTCGAGAGGGTTTCCGACCGTTGCAGACAATGCAATAATGGGGCAAGGGGCCAAAAGCAGAAGTTGCTCCCAGATGATGCCGTCTTCTGCCTGACCAATGCAGTGAACTTCGTCGAAGATGATGCGCTTCACTCTGTGAGACCAAGAATTTGGCTTCTTGGCATTGGACGGGGCCAAGAGCATAATCTGCAGAATATGAGGAACAGTGACCAGTACTTGGCAGCCAGTCGCGTTATTGATGCGGTAATCGCGGGTATGGATTGCCCAAATAGATCGTCCGGCAGCGTGGTACGTCTTCGAGAACCTGCCCTGGATCTCGGCCGCGATCTGGTTCACAAGCGCCTTTGTAGGAGCGACATACACAAGAACGTCGTCGTCGTTGGCTTGGAGGACCTTCTTCATGGCGTAGAATGAGATAAATGTCTTTCCAGCAGAAGTTGGGGCCACCACGAAGAGGCTCTTATCTTCGTCGATTGCATCGAGCACCTTTCTCTGCCAGGCATCTGGTGCAAAGGGCACACGGCCATCTGGGGCAGAGTCGAAGCTTCGTTCCAGATACGGGCCGCAATGCTCCAACTGGAACTTGCGAGCTACCCTCTCTTCAAAGAATCCTCTCTTCAGAACCTCTTTCGCGATAGCCGTCTTGCTTGCGAAGGGGATCGGGCGGTCGATGGCTGTGGAATCGAAGCTGGGAGGCGGCGGGAGCCGCATGGCGCGTGCAAAGGATTCGAGGTGCCTCCTTGTTGGTTTGGTAAGAGGCACGGTATTCATGAGCGACAAATGGGAACGAAGGAGGGCGATGATGCTCATATCTGTGCAGTCTTTTGTCAGCATATTGCCTCGCAGGTCAATCTCCCCTCCTTGGAACGCTCTCATCTCACCTTTGGCGATGAACGGCGGCTCGCCGAGGAGCTCCAACAACGTCTCGCAAATGTACAGCAATAACTCTCCTCCAAATGTCTGTCTGTCTTGATCCGGGAGACCCAGCATGTACCTGTTTGCCTTCAGATATCTCTTCGCGGGCGACTGGATCTTGTTGAAGTCCTGGCATTGCTGTGCAAAGAAGGTGACGACTGCAGCGCCTTTCGAATCCAGTCTGACATTCTTGAGTTCCTCGACTGCTTTTCGAGCATTGTTAGTTCCACTTCCTGCGCCGCGCTTGACTGCTTTAGCGGCGTCTTTCTTTGAAAGCTGCTTCTTCCAGGAATTCGCCTCCGCATCGTCTTTTCCGTTGTCTGCTTGGCCGTTGTTGCGGGTGCCACGAGCAACAATAGGCTCTGGCTCGATGTTCTTGCCAGAAGAATTGGTCAAGCTAGCCGAATACTTCATGGTATCCGCCATGAATCTCTGCATTCTTCTTTGGGCCCGCCATTCCATCGGCTTGCTTGGGGCTTTAGCGTCGATCGGTCTCTTCGCATTATGCCAGTGTGTGAGTTCCTGGAAGATCTTGGAGCCCGTAGATGACTTCTGCCACTCTTCGTCGGTGTCAAGCCAGATCTCCTCCAAGTACGAGTCCAATACTGGATGGCTGAAGGGTAGCACTTGGTTTGCGGCGCGTGTCTTCTTCAGCTCAATGTTGAGGAGTTCGAAGTTGGGGGCGGCTTTCGATGCAGGCTGCTCGTTCGGGGGGTCTTGTTGAGACAGGAGGCGCCCCATATCCACATCGACAAGGTGGCGGATTCTTCTGTCATAATATTCAAAATGATGAAACTCCACAGCCAGTTTCATACATTGAAGCTTTAGCAAAATGTGCAGAAAGACCCGTCCGTCCACCAGGTCGAAGACTCTCCAGTTGACATGCGCACCCATGGATTTGCGGCTGATCATCCACTTCCGAATCATTGGGATGGCGATGTTCGAAAACCCTTCGAGAAACGAAGCGACATCATCCGGAGTGCTCTCCTCGAGCGAACCACAGGATCTTTGAGCCAGCTCAGTGTGTTCAAGAAGTTCAATGTGGATAAGAAAAGCAGTAACACACTGCTCAGTAGCAGCGTCGGGCTTCGCCGAGAACAAAGTGGCACACGCAACAAAAGCGATCTCATCTCGCACTCTGACTTCCGTGGTATCACTGAGGTGGATAGGTTCGAGCTCCGACCAGTCGTCGATTTTCGATGCAAACTCGACCCACCCATCAGTCGTGATGCTGCGGGGCGCGGGTTCAGTTACTTCGATGGGATCTTCGGAACGCGCCGACGTGACGACATGAGTGTAGACCTGCTTCACTGTCAGCCATGCTTCTTGGGCAATTCTGGAATGAGCACTGACCTTGGAACTCCGGAACTCAATATCATCCATGAATGCGAGGTTATGTCCCTGGTCGGCGAACAAGCGCATGGCCTTGAGGTGATTGCCGCTACCGACGCCGTCGTTCATCTCAGGCGTTGAGTCGAAGTCGCTTCCCTGAGAACACATCACGAAGTGAAGACAGTTCTTTTCTATGTACTCTTCGAATTCCTTGCTTTGGATGGTAGAGAAGACAAAGCTCATGGGTGTGCCATTTCTGATGGGGTCCGTTGGAAGATCCATCGAAGCACCCCACGGATCGTCTGACGAATCTTCCATCCAAGGATTTCTGGTCTCTTGTTCGCGGGGCTTCGGGGTGCGCAGATGCTCCATGAGAACGGCACGCGTCAACAGGTACTTGTGTCGGTTTTTCTCAAGAACATCGTGCGGCACGCAAAGCTGCTCTTGGCTGTCGAACCAGAGGACATGGAAGTTGCAACCGCGCTCCTGCAGCTTGCTGAGGAATGTCTCGACGGCATGAACCGCGTGGAGTAGTTGAAAGCCATCTATGTAACCATTAGCGATGAAAATTCATTGACGAAAATCCAATGGTTTTGGGAAAGAGATGAAAAAGGACAAACCTTTGAAGTCGACTTTGGCCTGCGCAACGCAGTGGGCAACGAGCGACTCGCCATGGATGGCGAAGAGCTCCTTCCCAGCGAAGTCACCGACGATGTCGACTCTGAGAGGACTCAATGATGATTTCCATGACTTCAGAGCCGCAAGAGTCGGGCCCTCTTCGGACGCCATGGTTGATGTCGATACCGATTCTGTTGAGGGCAGGCGCAATGTCCTTCGGAGATTGCAGGGTGTTTGTCAGATGGGTAAGATAAGCACTACTTCCAGATTGAACCTCAAAAGTATGAGGCGGTGGTGATACAGGACGTAGAGATAACCAAAGGATGAAGAATCTTCAATTTGCGGTCGGTGGATGAGAGGGGGAGATGAAGACGGGAGGTGAGAAGAGACAGAGGATCTGGAGGTGGTGAGGTGGTAAGATAGCAAGGCAGCGGTCAATGGAAGAGGCCGTTTGTTGTCGACCGAGCAGACTTTTCAGCCCTCCTTCCGGATTGGTAATTGAGAACGTTCTTTGTATGATGCTCGTATGCACAAATTGCTGCAGGTTCCAAAGCCACTCCTTTGAGTCTTTTCCCTGAGACCTATCGACACAACTGAAGCATGTGCACAATGCAGGAGGTCTTTAAGTGTATTTTGTTTTTCCTCAGCAAGAAGAAGCCTGTGGGAAGATGGACTTTTCTGCGTCTTGAAACCACCTTCGTCCTGGCTTTGTTCTTCCACTTCGTCACTGTGGCGGTGTGTTGCCTGTTGGTGCTGCAGGAGGCCGTCAACCACCAAGCGACCTCATTGGCCGAGCATGATTAGAGATGGGCTTCTCCCAATTTCGGTTTATTGCTTTCAGCTCTTTTTTCGTCTTTCCTTTTCACTTGCGAGGGTACAGGTGTGCTGAGTGTCTTTTCGGTTGCTGGGGTATCAACGTGGAGGTCATCATGGAGTCCCTGGCAGCCAAGCTGGGAGTCAGATGTGACATAATCACAACTCGGCAGGTTGTTAGCCAGGCGTCAAACCTTCATTAGAAAAGATTGTATCTATTCTTTATCATTAAGGAAAATTTATTCCCCATCTCTTCGGCAGTAAAGTTATCTGCTTCCGACGATCTATCCTCCTAAGACGATGACCGGGCTGGTGGAAGCGGTGTTTGTTCCAATTGGCTCCTGTCCAACAAGGAGATAAATCTCGCTTCTTCAACTTATTCGTACGCCCCGAATTCCCATGCCACTTGGCATGGTGGGCTCGTTGCTCCTGCATTAGTTGAGATCAGTCAAAGGCATAGCGTACATCTATGGATCCAGCTTTTCCGGATACAAGCCCTCAGCAGCCGAGGAACAGAACCTCTCCCCATGCTTCGAACCGCTCAAACGTTTCACCAAGCTTCTTACCATGACAGCGCATCAACATTCTAGAATGCTCCTTACAAACTACGTTGAATCGCGCAGTTGATCGGGCCAGAGAATGCCTAATTCAAACTCTCCAACTCCCAGACCGCTCCAACCCTGCTCTATCGTTGGCCTCGACTGATAACCATGGGATGTCGCGCATGACCTGCATATCCTCGGAGAGCGAAAGTCGCCATCATCTTCCCCGCGGGAGCTAACATGGACCCATCTAGTCCCCCCGCGATGCAACGCCGGCAAGGTTCCCCGACTGCCACGATCCGTTTCAAACAAAACTCCAAGCTCCTCTGTCGATCATTGATGAATCGGTAGGATCTCTCCCCTGAACACCCAAGACTTTCGGCAGAGTCGTGAGGGAACCAACGACAATCGCGAGCAAGGGTTCCGCGGAGGCACGCAGGCGTCATGCGAGGTGCCCTGACTTCCCTACTTGGCATGTTACCATGTTTCCGTGTTTCCATGTTTCCAGGTCTATCTGCCGGTGGGCGGGTGAGGAGAAAAACATGGGACTGAAAAGAGACCACAGCTTCAGATATGCCCTCCAGCGCAAACCCAAAAACCACCGTCTGATCTCGCCACCCAATCACCCAACCCTCACAATTCGACTCATCTCTCACGTTGAGTCGCGTTCCTTCCCCTTTCAAAACCAACCTGACTCCTATCTCTCCAAACTCTCTTCAACTTGACTCGACCCGACCGTCGATTAACTTCCCCCCTGACTAAACGCCGGCGAAATGGGCTCCATCGCCCAGCCGTACAACAGCCGCCGCCGCCTCACCGGCGACGGAAACGGTGGCGCCAACAGCACACCAGACGCGGAAATGGACTACGAGGCGCTCATCATCGGCGGCGGGTTCGGGGGCGTCTACGCGCTGCACCAGCTCCGCCGGCTCGGGCTGCGCGCGCACATCGTCGAGGCCGGCGCCGCGCTCGGGGGCGTGTGGCACTGGAACCGGTACCCCGGCGCGCGCGTCGACTCCGAGGCGCCGTACTACCAGCTCTCGGTCAAGGAGGTGTGGAAGGACTGGGCGTGGTCGCAGCGGTTCCCCGGGCACGAGGAGATCAAGCGGTACTTCCGGCACGTGGACGCTGTGTTGGACATCTCGCGGGACGTGAGCTACGGGACTGTTGTTGTCGGTGCTGATTTTGACGAGGAGACGGGGCTGTGGAGCGTTGTGACGGATAAGGGGCGGAGGATCACGGCGAGGTTTCTGATTCCGGCGACGGGGAGCTCGAATAAGCGGTACGAACCAAATTTTAAGGGTATGGATGAGTTTGAGGGGGTTGTGGTGCACTCTGCGTCGTGGCCGGAGGGGGGCATCGACTTTCGGGGGAAGAAGGTTGCGGTGATCGGGGCCGGGGCGACAGGGGTGCAGTGCGTGCAGGAGATTGCGAAGGCGGACGGTGTCGAGCTGACGGTGTACATCCGCAACCCGAACATTGCGCTGCCGATGGTGCAGCGGGAGATGACGGAGATGGAGCAGCGGCAGCTCAAGTCGGTGTATGGGATCCTCTTCAGGGCTGCGAGGGAGAGCATGCCGGGGCTGCCGTGCGACGGGACGACGAAGGTGGCGGCGCAGGCTTCGGAGGAGGAGAGGGAGGCGTTCTGGGAGGAGCTGTGGCATCGAGGGGGCTTCAACTTCCAGGCCGGGAACTATGTGGACTATTTGATTGACGAGAAGGCGAACCGGTCCATGTACGAGTTTTGGAAGAAAAAAACGGGGCCGAGGGTGCGGAATCCGGCGAAGAGGGCGACTGTGGTGCCGGAGGAGCCGCCGTTCCCCTTTGCGACGAAGAGGAGCAGCCTGGAGCAGGACTACTACGAGTGTCTTGACCAGGACAATGTCGAGGTTGTAGGGGTGAAGAAGAACCCTATCCGGAGGTTTTCGAGGAGAGGCATTGTCACGGAAAATGGGATAGAGAGGGAGCACGATATCATTTTGCTCGCGACGGGCTATGATAACTGCACGGGCAGCCTGACAAGCATGGGATTGAGAGGGAAAGATGGGGTTGACATGAAGGACAGGTGGAAGGATGGTGTTTGGACGTATCTCGGGCTTATGGTCAGAGGATGTCCGAACATGTTCATGGTATACGGTCCTCAAGGTAAGCTCCCACCTAGCAGGCGTCAAGATGCGCACGCTAACGACTTCCTCAAACAGCACCCACAGCTCTCACGAACGCCCCGCCCTTCATCGAGCAGCAAGTCGAGTTCATTACAGACTTCATATCCAAGCTGCGTAATGAGAACGTCAAGTCCATCGAGCCTCGGCGTGAATCAGAAGAACAGTGGAAAGACCTGATTCTATCCATGAACGAGGCAACGCTGTTCCGGAAAAACGACTCTGCATGGTACCTCGGCGCCAACATACCGGGCAAGCCGAAAGAACAGCTCAACTACGTCGGAGGCATTCCACCGTATATGAAAGCTTGCCGAGAAGGAACAAGCGACTGGAGGAACTTTGATGTTGTCAGGATGGGTGAGGGGAAAGGCATAGCCAACGGCGAGACTGCCAGGCCCCTGAATTAGATGGCTGAGAGTAGAGCGACCATGGCACGGTGAAAGGATAGAGCTTATGAGGAAGTGTTCATAATGCATAGCCTTGGAATTGGATCAGCATTACTACTGCCTAAGTACCTTATCCTTCGTAACCTGCCATTGCCTGGCTATCTCAAGGCTCTTGTCAGCCGTGTTAGGGGGCACATACCCCCTTTGTTGTAAGCCAAGGTTCTTTCCCACAACCGCCTTGGAATTGCGCGGTCTATGATTCTAGGCAGGCTTCTAGATGTGAGAAGCTTCCTAGAAACTTGCTCGTCTACTTTTGCTTTCTAAATGTCGGCATCTGCTCCAGCTACCCAGCCGCAGCGAGACCGGATAGCCTCAACTAGGTGTCTACTGGCACCTACTATCCCCATTGCCCGATACAAAATAGTACAAACAAACCATCACAACTTCTTTATATCAGTATATACTACCATGTCTTACTATATAGCAAGCTTCAAGTACGAGATCCTAGGATTCTAGCATCCAGGTGGTACATGCAGGGCGCGAAGGTCCAGATGGTCTCATGGCATCCATAGCTGCTGTACGGGCATATTCACTCAATAAATTCGCTTTTCCGACATATTTAGTTGCCTTACACGCTTTCAGGATCTAGAGTAATGTATTAGTTTATACAGGATGCTGCGGTATGAAGCAGTCGAGCCAAAGTTGCCGTGAACAATCCTCGGTACCAAGATGCACATTAAAGGTGGTCGAAAATTCTCACGCAACACAAACTCATGCAAAACTGCTCAAACCATCGGGAATCAGTACAAAAATCTTTAAAGAATCAACCCAAGGTAGGTTCATTAAACTCTACACCTGCCAACGGTCTCAAAGCCGCGACTTCATCTTACCCATCCACATCACGAACCCCCTCAACCAATACCATCAAGAACTTGAACCTCCGCCATCTCACATGCATCAACGAAAACCACAAGAGGGATGGGAATGACTGAACCAATGACTCAACGTGAGCTAGTCTCGAAATGCAGAGCCGTCACTCTCCACGACTCTCAAAACCTTCCGCCGCAGCTCCCCACGACTCACACCATCCACCACCAAACCACTCACAACCCTCGGAGCTCTACAAACATCGGCAGAATACACCTTACTCATTTCCCGCCGTCCTCTAAATTTCCAAAACAGAACCTGACTGTCTCCCCCCGCACGCCTGCCCGCGCGCGGGTGCACATCACCTCACCTGCACAGATCAACCTTTCTTCGGCACATCACAGCAGCCCAGCACCAGCATCAGACGGAGCGAACGAAACGGTCTGGACCATCTTCACTTTCCATCCCCGCTGACGCAGTGGCGATCCATCGGAAAGTCTATCGCAGCTTCAAAACAGCAGTGCGAACCGAGGATCGAGAAGACAATCACACACAGACCATCCACATGCACCTCACCTCCCATCTTCACAAAGGGTGATGTGCATCTCCGCACTGCCGATAAAACCTTACTCTTTTCCGTCCAGTGCGAGTGCGAAAAGAGGTGAGGGGGCCTTCTGTTCGGACGACGGGGAGTCGTCCGGGCTCGAAGAGACGGAGCCCTCCGGCGAAGTTTTCAATATCCGAATGCCCACACCCAACGGGACATTGAGCTTTCGCCTGCCGAGCCGACGATGGGAGGCCGTAGGTGTGGCGCACCGAGACCCATGACGCCACAGATGCGGGGTACCGGTGCTGTGGCTGGTCAGTGTGATGTGGCTGTGCAGCCACAGCGTCACAGTTGTGCCGTGCTGGGCTGGCAGAAAACCTGCTCGGATGGCATGATCGTCAGGGGGCAGACGGGACACGGGAATTGATGGTTGCGCGAATCACTCGAGGTGAAATGCCCGGCCGACGAACGAGCATTCGAGGATGGACTGTGTTGTTTGTGGCGACATGTATGTGAGTGTTATGCAGCGAAGATCACCAGATGAGTGGACGAGAGGCAAGAAGGAGCTACCGCACTGCCACGACACGTGATGTTATGTAAATCATCAACCTGTGGCTTTACTGCGGTAAGTCTGCCAGAATCATGATTGCTGACATAACCGGGCGTTGGTCGACACACCGAATGACGGCAGTGGTGCGACCCAAAACGTGGTGAGATGTTTCTATTCCAGGGAACCACGCCGCGGAAAAGGGTGACATTGAGCCCCGTAGCCACGGAATGTTTTCCATTGCTGTTCACTTTCCGGCAGTGTTGCCAAATTGCACTGAATTTTTGCAGTGGCTCATGCGTTATTTGGCAGCGGACGGGAAGAGCGCCCCCAGACTCCCGGCCGAGGCTTGGCTCTGTGCAATTAACGCTAAGCCCGAAATGAGAAGAAATGAATTGAACCTCCGAAAGGGACTGAGTCGTGAAGGTTGTTTGTTCCGTGCTCAGCCCCTCCCCGGGACGAAAGAGCCTGATAACGGAATTTTAACATGTTCTGCGCCCTCCCCAAAAGTTTGTTCGAATCAAGCCTGGCTGGCTCGACGGCTTGGACGGGTTTATTGCCTGGTGAGACGGGTCGTGTTGGAATGTGGGATAATGGTGCGTTCACCGGCGCGGTGTGCTTGACCGGCGAGGTTGTATTGGGCGATGAACAGAGCAATGTGGAGAGAGGGAAGCAAAAGAAACACAACCGTTTGGGAGAGGCTTGGGGGCGGCAAGGCTCTTCTTGGATATACCATTGCAGTTAAAGCTTGGGATGTCCGGGTCAGGAGTTGAGGGTCTTTCGATGAGGGGTTGGAGGGAGCCTGCTGCCCTAGGGCCGAAGGGGCAGAATATCGGCTGTCGTTCTAGAACGACGAGATGGCATCGATACTCCAGACTGGCACCGAGGACGACCCCTCAGCTGAAGGTGTGACTGGCCGAGTCTAGGAAACCTCCCTGATCTGCTGGCGATGCGCCGATGTGGGCGATCAAACCGACGCCATTCCCGTGGGCATCAGCGGATAGGGGCGAGAAGCATGCCATGGGTTTATGGGATGACAGGCCGTGAGGAGTGCATCTCTGCAGACAGACTGCAGGCTACGTCTGGCTAGACGTCCTCTTTCGGCCTCTCGAGGGGCTGAAAATCTGGTGTAATGCTTCATGATGCGACCCCTATTTCCTTCAAAGCCTTCGAAGCCTTGTCGTTATTGGCCGCGAGCCATGGCGGACGGGGTAGTGGAATGCTGGCAGATGCTAAGTGCCGGGACGCCGGGGCAGGCCATGTCGGGGCTGGATATGGGTTGGGTTGGGCGAAGGACGGAAAGACGGCCGTTTTGGCTCAGTGGTGTTGCTGGAATGGATTCGTGGGAAGTGCCGCAGGTGAAACAAGGCGTCGCGCTGTTGCTATTTTTGAACACCAACGTCACGGTTCGTTGGGGAGCAGCAGCAAGCGGCACCACAGCCAGCATTAGCTAATGCTGATCGCTGCGGCATAACAATGGGCTTAGATGGAACTTTATGTAAGCTCACGACGCTTAGTGGCCAGTAGTGCGCCGGCCGTGGCTCTTGTGGCTCTTGGGGGGAGTTGTGCATCCACTGGCGGCGTGTGCGAAGGCGTGCAAACGGAAAAGAGAGTCAGCGCGGTGCTCGGAGGCACAAAGAATTGAGCAACTCGGCCGCCGGGAATGTGGGAGGACATCGGGAGAGGTGGGGTGAAAGCGAGATGGCCGAGACGCTCTCGACGCTCGAAGGGTTTGTGGAGCAGCCCGAGCTGGAGAATGCCGAAACGGCGCCGGGGTAGTCACTGGCCGGCTCAGCATCCGCGGCCTGAAATCGAGACTCGAAGAGACGGTCCAGACTCCAGGGTAGGCGAGATGGTGAGGAACATGAGCTTGTCCTCGAGTCTGGGGGCTGCAACAAGCTCAATTTCCATTGTGTATCGGCCAGACGAGGTCTCCCGCTGGCCGCCTTGTCTGATTCTTTCGCTGTTCGGCATTTGCAACAGCTGAACGATTTCTGTCGGAGTCTGCCGCATCGGCCAGGAAGTTCGGCAGAATTTGGTATTTTCGTAAAGTCTATTTGCCCGTTTCCGTTTGGCATGTTTCTGCTGGCATCGCGAGCAAGCCAGTCGGCGCCCCTGCCAGACGATTGACAGTAAACAACGGTGGTGAACAGGCAGGCTTGTTGACAGCCACCGGGTGCGCAATGTATTCCCAACGGACGGCACAGCCCACGGGCACAGGGCGAATCAACATCCCTCCACTGGTAGATTACCAGACGGTGGTGGTGATTTGCTGGGAGCAACAATCGGTCCAGTTGATAGCGGCCGTGGAGGCAGTGCATGAATTATCGAGGTAGGGTCAGGGAGCGGAGATTCAACGATCTGACCAGCGTCCCACAGGAATGAAGCTCTGCACAGCGAGCGGCATTTCCATCACGAAAGGGACATCCCCTGGACGGGCTGGCCACTGGCGATCAAGTGAGCCCGGCTCTGGAGGTGCAGGTAGTCTGGAACCTGGATGGAATGAATTGTGCCCATTCCGATGCGGCGTGAATAAGAGCGAGGGCCAGTGATAATGCTCGGTGTGCACGGACGAGGCGGGCACCAAAGTCCAAACTCTTTTGATTAATGCCGTTGAGAACGGACGGAGGACAGCTTCCTGTTCGGGGCAGCTGAAAGATTTGGAGCCGCGGGGATGAAATTGTGTCAGCGCATGGCAAAACACGACCCTCCGTGTTGAGAGCATCTTCGGAAAAGCCTTTCGTGATGTGGGCGTGGGAGGCGAGAGTCGAGACGAGAGCCACAATCTATGCCGTGATCTGTGCTTCAAGGGGAATGACCGAGAGTCGACGGCGAGGTGAGGTCGAGGATGAGGCTGTTGGAGAAAACCGTTGCAGTTGCAGATGGCTGAAAGCGGTATGGCGATACTGAGAATAGTTGTCAGAGGGGGCTGAAGTGCAACGGCGGGTATTTGGTGTTTGTAGATGGATACGAGGCAGGAAGAGGCAGATAAGCCTACTTGGAGCAGCTGGACGATTTGAAGATTGCGATGATCATGAACCGAAAATGTGGTCTGGCATG